TTCCCGCAGGAGCTCACGTGCAGCATTTGTGTCCGTATAAGCTTTCTTGCGCATATACACTATTGAAGCAGAAACAGGAATCTTGCAAAATGCTTGCCTCTCGCACCTTTTGCACGAAAGCAGCAAGCTGCCAAACTTGGGCCTGCTGTGTGCGATGACTTCTGCATGTATGTATATATATATAATCATATACAATTGCACACACACATATATATATATGTATATATATATATATACATGCACGTCTTTCTCTATCATACATATGCACCCGAAGCCTGAAACCCTGGCGGCCCAGGCTCCGTCTGACGCAGCATGACGCGATCTTGGTCCACAAGTCTCTCAAAGTCGTTGTGGAGCGCGGGCTCCAGGCAGTTTAGGGTTTTCGGGGCAGGGTTTAGGCAGGGCTTCTTCTTCTTGGAGGAAAGATACTTGGTTGAAAGGAAACGAGAGTTTCGGACAGTATGGTACGCAAGACAGATCCCCAACATAGTAGGACCGTCAACACGAGACCCCCTAAGTCAAAGAAAGTCCCGGATGGTATAAGACCACAAGAACAAAGCACAAGGGTGGGCACGTGGTATCGCAAGGACTCATTATTACTCATTATCTGATTTGATATAGCGCACCTTTGAGGTGAAGCTGCCCCAGGATGAGTTCCAGTGCTACCGGGACAGCAAGTTGTGGCTTCAGATGCCCGCCAACTACGTTAGGGAATGGTTCTTTGCACGGCATCCATCAGCAGTGATTGGAAGCATTTGGTCCAACATCTCGACTGTGAACAAAGAGCTTGGCCGTGAGGGTATGCCCTTCACTCTGGACTTCTAAATCTTTTCGGACACGATCACCAGCTCAACCCCCCTCGAGCAGCTGCCACAGTAGCTGCATAGGTGCCCCGTGGACGCATCCTTGTGCTTTCCGTACTCTCCCGCGCGCCGGAAGTGGCATGAACATGAGCCCCTCAGCTGCACCGACTCGACGAAAGCTGCTTCTCATAGCATCTCCCAACCTTTTTAAGTGATTTTTGGTTTCCAGGCCTTCGACTGGAAGAAACCCTTCTTCCGACTCTGCAGGCCCACGAGTTGAGCTGAGTAATATTGCAAGGTTGAGGGTCTTACAGCCCAGACTGCCAGGTTTCGGGAGTGTGAACCCGATGTGAAAAAAGGCCGAAGAAGGCTCAAGATAAGCTTCGTTTCGTTGCTACAACCTTGCAGTCCCAGGTGATGTGGAGCGCGACCGTGCAGCTTGGAAATGTGGAATTCTTTGGTGTGGCTGGAACAGCTGGCATCTACATGTTACCGATCGGAGACGAAGATCGAGAAGAAGCATGCAAAGTGCTTGCACCGACTCAGCCGGCAAGAGCTGAAGGTTCACTCGCAAGCTGATGTATCTCAGACCGACGTCGTAATCCTTCTTGCTTTGCAAGAGCTGGCGCAACCGTCACCAAAATGATGACATCGACTCCTGGCATGCTTGGTGAAGCTGGACATGGTTTCGAGTTTCGATTCGACTATTTGGTTGTTCATTCTTGAACCGTTTCCAACTGGCTGTAGCACAGAAATGTCCAGAAATGCTGGTTTTCTGGTGGCTTGGATTTGGCAAAGATCATCAGCTAGAGCACCGGTGAACAATCTAGAATGTGCTGATCAATGAGATCCTGTTTTTAGGACAAAAATCGGCTTTTTTATTTTGGTGCATTAATGGCGTGGGACAAGTCGCCATCAAAGTCTGCCGGCAACCTCAGGACCGCGCTGCCTTTGTTGGTGATGAGTTGTGTGAGGTCTAGTGAAGAAAGCGGCATGGGAACAATGCAGGAAAGCTGCACACAAAAGATCCAGTGTGAAGATGGCAGAGGGGGCAGCACGTGTGGTGAGCGGTGGGAATGAAGTTACTGTAGTGGAATGATTTGGTCAAGGCAGTGGAGAGCAGAGTTTCGAATGCCAGGACTTCACAACCCATCGTCCCGTGTCCCGCGAAGTGCTGTTATATGCTAGGCTGTTGCAGATTGGTTTCTGGTTACGGGCAAGCAGTCCATGGCGGAAGGCTATAGGGATGCTTGTGGTCGCGCAGAATGTCTTGGTGTCGGGTGGACTGAAGAGGTGCCTCCGATGCAAACCTACCTTCCATTATACAGAGCACATGCAGGCCACATATGTCGCTGAGAGCAGGGCCTCGCAATGACAACGTGGGCTTTTTTGCCGTTGGTTTGGTCGCTCGATGGTATTTATAATAGACAAGGACACAGAAGTTTGTAGCAATTTTTGAGGATCGCTGGGTTCAATAGATTATTAGAAATTTATAAAATCTATTAATCCGAAGAATTAATAAGCGAAAAAATTCATTATAGAATTCTATAATTTAAAATAAATTGAAAAATTTAATTATCATACATACGAACATTTACTTACGAAAATATTTTAAGAAATAATACTAATATAGAATCTTAAATGATTATATTTCGAAATCTTACAAATATTCTAAAATTGAATACCAATATATTAATCTAAAATAATTACCTTGTATCGTAGGTCCTAGCTAGGTGGAAGGCAAAAAATAATTATCTCTAAAATCTATAATTATGTAGTCGAAAACACTATATTCTATATATATTATATGCATTAATTTTTTTTAATATTTAATTTACTCTCAATAATCGATGTCGGAAATTTATCGAATTACCGAATTATTATCTCTGTATTCTTCTGTAATTTGATGATTTGATAAAAGGAATATATATCGTTTTTTACGACATATGCTATAGGTTTTGAATTTGGAAATTGATTTCTTTCTGAATTTCGTATTTTTTTTCTTATTTTTATCGTGATTTTCTGTTTTCTTCTTTTCTACGCTTTTTTATCTCTTCTTAAAAAGATAGAAAGCATAATTATAATTTAGAAATATTTAATGAATAAGTTCGATATGAATGTATATATTTTTTTATATTTATTTTTTCTTATATTTAAATTTTTGATTTGAAAGAAAATAAAATTGAAATTTAAATTAAAGAATATGAATTTAAATTTATATGTCGAAATTATTCGAAAATTTTCATATTTTGAGATTCTTTCCTTCATTAAATAATTATGCATTAAAGAGCGATTCCCCATATAGGGAAGGAATGATATTATGAAATTTTTTTTTTTTCAATAATTATGTAGTGATTGATAGTCAATTCATATTCGTGGCCATATTATGAATGGGAATTCTGAATATAACGAAAAATGATTTAGATCGTATTTTTAGTTAGAGACTCAATAAGAATTTATTCGATTTCGTTTTTCTCCGGTATTGTTTCTTTGCGCAAAGAAAATTAAATTCTTGCTAGAATTATATGAAGTCTTTTTAATTTCGGAAATCTGAGCATTATAGATAAGATATAAAATTCATTTTATAATGTTCTCGATGAAATTTATAGAGAATATAATGTAATTTATTTCTATAATTTATGGTTGGAATAGATAATTAAATTTTTTAGGGGTGAATTTCGTAATATTAATCGATATATCTAAAATTATTTTAAATCTCAATAATGAATTGAGATTTAAATTATATATTTATATCTAAGAAATATATTTTATTGAATGATAGGCCGAGATTATATTATCTGGACGACCGCGTTAAGTGCGTGTGCTCTTCGATTATTAATATTAGATCGATATCTGATTCTTATTAGAAGAAATTTGTCTGCCGACTGCCAATGACGTATATAAATGAGGATGTGCTAATTATTATTCGATAATATTCCGAAAAATGATTCATTCTCAGAGATAAATATCAAATTTCTGGTCGTCTATTTCTCGGACGCGATAATTCTCGAATTATATAGATCTATATCTATCTCTGATGGCATAATCGAAAATCATATATCGTATCTTCTCTAGTATTTATATTTCCTGGATATTATATTTTAATTTGCACATATTCCTTGGAGTTCTGATCATATTATTCAATAATTTTTTTCCATGAAGTTGGTCTCTATAATGAAGTCCGCTATTTTATCGTGATAATCTCTCAACGAGAGCTGGATATCGTTATATTGATTGGAAAAGGACGCTGAGTCCTATCAAATTCATATTTTCGACGAAGATTGTCCGACGTCAATTCTCAAAATATTTAGCATGGATAATCACGATCAATAAATCATAAGATTAATTCTTCTAATATCTTCTTTGCAATAGTAGTCTCGGATCCGAGATTCTTATATTGAGATTCTGAATTATATTTGTCCCTGTCCGTCTTCGCACATGATCCATTATATATGATATTCTCGTGAAATAGATCGCGGATAGACATCCGCGTAATTATAGATTCTTATGCTGGATAAAAATTCATCGACGACCAATTTTTTAGATATAATATTCTCTTCGTGAAAATTTCCCTTCTGAGCAATTGGAGGGATAAAAATCCTTTGATATTAGATTTGAATATATATAATCAATGTAATTGAATGTACTCCTCTAATCTATTAAATAGATGAATTTTCCGAGATAATAATTCGAGATATATAAATTCAAATATACCTAAATTTTGAATACATATATATAAGATCCGTATATATCTGAATATTGCAGCAATAAAGATATCTTTAATCGATTCCGATTCAATTGGATTGTTATGAATGAGGGAATTCAATTTGGAGCCTCGCGATAATTACGACGGAAGTAGTCAGAAGTAACGAGTTTGCCATTCACATAGCCTTAGGCGAGCAATCGTACTACAATAAAGACAAGCGGCCCTAGACACTTGAGAAAATTTGAGAAAAATATTTTATCTATGGCGATCTTTATTATCTCTCTTGGTCTTAATTATTCCTAATCTTTTTTTTCAGAAAAAAGATCTAAACTTCGTTCAATTATTCTAGTATGTATTTATCTGAACCATTATAATAAATATATCTATAATTCATCTCTTGCTTTGCCTATAACTAATTAACGAATAGATTTCATCACGAGCCGATAGAAGATTTATTAATATCTAATAACAAAGTCGAAATCGTTCGTCTATCACCTGTTGCTCGAAAATTTGAAATATTATTCGTTAAAATATTATTATATTCTTAATATGATTTCGTCCAAAAAAGAATATAAATAATTAGAATTATAATTAACATAATTATTTCTACTATTTCATTATTTATATATAAATTTCTTTCTTATTCATTTTAAATATATCATTAATGAATATATAATAATATTCAGATTAGAAAGAATATTTAAATAGAATATATTAAGAAATTAATCTTAAGCTTCGATCGAAATTCACATCGAAAAAATTATTCGTATCGATAAACTCGATTTTAATTATCATAAAATTCTAATTTTTCATTTTATATATTATTTCGAATATTATAAATTTTATTAGAGAAAGAAATATTTTAGTCAATAATTAATTTCGTTAAATTATCTCGATATTATAATCTTTTATCTATATAAAATCAAATATATGACTAAATAATATCGAATTTATATAAGACTTAATTACCATTTGCATTTATATTATTTCTATCAATTAATATTCAAATGCTAAGATCTTATATTAAGAATAATTTTATCAAATGATATCATATTATCCATACTCTTGCTAGTCTTACCATATCAATTATAATCCTATATTTTTGAATAATCGTTAGATCGAATGATGAAATAAATAAGTAAATCGATCGAATAC